AGTACTGTACGTGTCTGCTGCCGAGTCCGTGACCTCTGGACACCAAATCTAACGCTTGATCTTTTGTGTGTGTGTGTTTTTAACTTTGAGTTCTTACAGTAGATGCTGCTATCACGTAGGATTTCGATGTATGTTACAGTCTTACAGAACATCTTTACTTTGCTGACCAATTAAGCTTTGCACCAAGATCATGCCATCTCGTAAAAAGTCCCATTTCCTTTATGGACATTTTCCTGACATTTCTTTTATTAGCGGCGCGACTGCAGATGGATGTAATGGTGGCGAGCCTTCCAAAAGTCTTGTGCAGATGGTCAGTTTAGTTACGTGTGACTCATGTAGTCAGCGGAGCCAAAAAATCACAGCGCTTCGCAGAACTCGTCCCCTAAAATCGCCTGCCAGCTACAGCTGGAGGGCCTCCAGGAGCTCTGTTCAACACGCGGCCGAGTCGCAGCATTTGAACATGTTGTACCTGCCAACACGCTCTCCGGATGTCAAGCCCTTCATTCATTATTAGAGAGAAAGAGAGAGCGCTACATCAGCTTTGTCTAATAACTGTACGCATATCTCCAGCTCTTTATTATCTCATTCGCGGCTCTGTTTAGATCACAATACCAACATGCATGCCCATTTCTGTGTTCATAAAACAAGCAAGAGCACTGCCTAGACTGCATTAAAGCATTAGTGCTGTCTAAAGTCTGAATCCTTATTATCATCCTTCTTTGCTTGATAAAGGGCTAATTATTGTCTAACCTTCACGTACCTGCTTCAGGACTTGCGTCTTCTGTGTGACAACTCTACATCCAGTGTGTGTGTGTGTGTGTTTGGATTTTGCCACTAAATTATTTTATTAGTGTTCTACCTGTCCAAACCAAATAAAAGAGCGTCTGACAAAAACATGTGTCAGTGCCCTCAGAGCAGTGATCTTAAATAGCTGCGCGGTGCTTGACATACTCTTTTTTTCTTGTTGTTTTTCGCCTGGATTTTGTCTGTCAAGCTGTCATAGCTTATTTGTGAAGGTTGAGGTGGCTTGCAGGTGTACTTGTAAACAACAACAATAGCACATTCTACACGCACGTTTAGGGTGTGAGGGATTTACAAGCACCAAGTAGCCCAACAAGCCACACACACATAAAGACCCCAGTCAGACATGAGGTTCAAGCCCAGGTCCTTCACTGGGCAGCTACGTCAGTACTGCTGGTTTGATTTGAAATGCCTCCTTTGCATCCTCCCACTCTTTATTTTGCGCATTCTCAATGTGTTGCTGCTCGTGACGCATCAGGATTTCACAACATTTCCATCATCACGTGAAAATGATAAGCAGCAGACGACTCATCTATCAGACATCCTTTCCAGCTGATACTGGTGTTAAAAACAACCCACAGTTCTGCACATATGTCCCACTCTCTGTCTGTCCTCTCTGTGTGCCTCTTAGAGGTGGGCCGATCGATCCACATATCGATAGTATTGATACTGACGCTGGTATCGGTCTCGTATCGATACCAGTGTGATGAGATGGATTCTTTGTTTCTGTCCTCCAAGTTCACTCTGTAGCCTGCTGATTTATGTTAAACAAATTTTTTGGAAAATCAAAAATATACCTCACACATGCACTATGAAAAATGTGTTGACTGTCACATTTATTTTATTTATAGCCTATAGCACATTTAAACAACAGAAGTTGAGCCAAAGTGCCGTAGAGACGCCCACATTTATATTCCAGGTCCCCAAAACCCCAGACACGAAAAGCTGATGTAGCTGAAAGATGTGTTTTTTGTGTTAAGTAATTGTGGAATGTAAAAATCACAGTGATTCATTAAAATGAGATCAGAATTTGAAAATCAATGATGATTCATCACATAAGTCATACCACACTGCTCTACCCTACATGAACTGCCTTGATAGAGTAAAAGTACCGGTATTGATATCGGCAGTACTGGCCCTATGTTTACTTGGTATCGGACTGATACCGAAATCTGCAGTATCGTGCAGCACTAGTGCCTCTGTTTTCAGGAGGGGGGGAAGGGAGCCGTGCGATCAGTATTGATCTCAGAAAGCTCCGAGGCAAATTTATCTGTATTACATCTGTGATGTGCGTGAGTGCAGGCTTGGCCTCAAAAAGGAGGTTTGTGGGCCGTTTGGCAGGTTTCAAAAACAGAGAATGAACAGAGTTCCCCTGTTGAGTTTTGACTCACATAACATATCTACATTCAGCCAGCTGAGTTCAGTGGTAATTAGTCAATCCGGTCTCACACGCACACACACACACACACACACACACACACGCACACAGGTAGAGATGTTTAAACACACTGGAAGCAGCTTTAAATGACATATCACACTAACAGCGTCAGCTGACACAGTTAACATCACACCCACTGACAGTAGGTCATGTGACACTGCTTTGTTGTTGGTGTACTGCTGCAGCTGTTGACTGGGAGCCAAAGCAATATTTTTTTGTGTGTATTACACTTCTCTTCTCTCTTTCTGTTCCTTGTTCCTTTTCTATTTGATTTAAATATAAAGTGAGTATTTTAGGAGGCAACGCAGTACAAAAATAATTCCACATGAAGATGTAAAAACAACACAGCATATGAACGCGTTCCTGTAAAATATGCCCCAGTTTGTTTGTTGAGCACAGGCAACACACAAGTGTTTGAAAATGCTGCCCTCGTGTGTCTGTTATCAGGAATGCACCTTCGTGATGTCCTGAAACGTGTTTTATGTTTCAGGTTATGGACACACTTTCTAAACTCTCCCACACTGTGATTGTACAACAGACTGGAATCAGGTATGTGGAAGTGAAATGTTTTAATACAAAACAATGCATTTCTTTCATAGCATCTTGTGATCTTAGTAGTGAACAATAAAATCTAATGTAATGGATGCATTATACTGCCATTGGAAGCTTGTGAGGTGTTTGAATCCTAAAACATGGACTGCTTTCTCCTCTCAGGCCCTTTCCAACAGAGGACAGTGTTGAAGACGAGGACATCTACAACCACCTGGAGGACCTCATAGAGTATGCTCTCCACCCTTTTGTTTCCAGCCATATCCTTAAGAACATTTTAAGATGGATTTCTAATACACGTGTTACATTTTAAAAAGTCAGCAACCTTGTGAGTCTTTATGTGCACGTGTGTGTGTCATTATGGCACGCTGAGTAACATACTCCAACAAAAAGGGGTTTCTGAGCTTATTTGCAGATGTTTACACGTCTTTCAGGATGTGTGCAGACAGCTTTTGTCAGCATAGCTGCACAAGATGCAGTCATTAAACCTTTCACATGTGTGGCCATGGTCAAGATGCAGTCTGGGGTGTGACAGCTCACCGCTGTGATCCCATTGCACCGCAGTCTCTCTACTTTAGTGTTCGGCTTCCTCGACTCTTAAAACTCTCCACGCCTGTGAGGATAAAGCTGCCATTTGTTCCCTGGGTGTTGTCTGGAAGGCAGCCATTTTCACCATCAACTCGCCCCGCTCTTTTCCTTAGTTAGCCACAAGTGGGGTGTGTGGGACTGTGAATTAATCATTTGTTGTTCAAGCCCTGCTCTGCAGACACCTGTTAGCTTAGCAGATTTAAACGACAGATTTTTCTGTCTAAAAATAAAGTTCATAGAGAGGGTGTTAGCTATACTGCGTGCAACCAATGTAGGTCGGTTGGTGTTCGATACCAACTAAAACCAACCTTTTTTTCACCTTTGGAAATAAAGCAGGGACAAAATAATAACATGACATAATCCTCCTCCGTTGCAGACAGAATGTCTGGCACAGTCCCATTCATAGGCCTTCATCTAAATGCAGCTGTAGGACTATTGACTCTGGTCTATCTGATATGGATTTTTGAATGCATTTTTGTTTAGACTGAATGCATCAGATGCCAATTCATGGACAGATTTTTTGTCCCTTCTCTGTTTTTCCAGTTCATAGCTCATAACACTGCAGTTTCCTGTCTGTTTCTGATCATAAATACTGGCACTTGCATGGTAATTGAAGTCAGCAGAGAGACATAATCCTACAACAGAAATGCTGTTGGAAACCTTTACAGTGACACAGTAGTTTGGCTCGTGTTTAACGCTGACAGCTCCTACAGAAGGAAGCGGCACACTAAGAGTAGTGACAGCAAAACAGTGGCTTGATAGCAGCCAGCACGGGAGGTTTGATGTGTCAGCCTGAATCTCACTGAACTGAGCCACATTCTCCCATCTGCTCAGTGTTTAGCAGCCATATAACGGACGCAACTGAAACATGCGCACGCTGTTCCACACAACAAGAGGTTTCATTTCATTTGTTTGTTTGTTTTTTAGCTAAGCATACAATCTTGTTGCCCATCTAGAACCAAAATAAATCTTTATATGTGCAAAGCATTTAGGATTAAGAGCAAATTCTTCTCTCTCATCACTGGAGATTTCATCTGTTCTAATCTGTTTTAATGTGCAAGGCTAACAAAGTGTTTAAATTCACTGCACTAATTTTTGAAGAGATAGTATAAGTTAAAAGTAATAGTTAAGGGCATTATTTCTCTGTATTCTAGATATCTAGTAATGCCCACTAAAACAAGTGTAGGCAATATTATTGAAATAGACTAGCTTGGCTATTAGCTATGAAGCTTTATGCTAGGCTGTTAGCTATGAGGCTTTATGCTATGCTGTTAGCTATGAGGCCTTATGCTAGGCTGTTAGCTATGAGGCCTTGTGCTAGGCTGTTAGCTATGAGGCCTTATGCTAGGCTGTTAGCTATCAGTCTTTGTACTAGACTATTAACCAAACCTAGCATAAAAAAATTAGTTGTTTTTTTTACTACTACTTACTACTGTTTCTTAACAAAAGTAACAAAATCCCTCACACAAAAGCTGCTTATAAAACAGGAAGTGCAGCTTAGCATTTACATATTTTGTTTATGGTAAAGATGAATTAAAGTAGATTAGATTATTTCTACCTATACCTTCTTTTTACGTTAACGCCAAGCTAAGCTGTCTTTCTCTATCATATTGAGACTGAGAGATAGTCTCTCACTCAGAGAACCAAGGTTACAACGTAACCTTACGTTCTGTAGCTCCTTTGTTAGCTTACAGAGGCCCACTTTACCCTCAAGTCTTAAATGAATTTTGATACATTCTCTGTTTGAGTTATTGCCCTTTACTATAAGACATGACAATAATACATTAGTTGAAGCAGAGCAGCAAACCACAGAGAGAAATATATTTTTTTCCTTTATGGTCCACCACCTATGCTGTAGATCTCTTATCCTTGACCTTACCTCCTGCTCCTTACCCTAATAAAACATGCTAATTGTTTACGTCCAATTATCCCCTTAGGTTTCTTTGAACTTGGGAACATTTGGTTCTAAAATAAATGTATGAAAAGTAAAAGAAGGCACACACAAACACTGAGTCACATCATGTTAGCCCACCTGCTAAGGCTGCAGTAATTGGCTCCGATGTGAGCAGTCAGAACAGGCTGGTGGCGTCACACATAAAAGTCTTTTCTTGTCTGCGTGTTCCTCAGCCACTTTCACAGCAAGGGATTAAGTTTTGTCCCCTTCTAACAAGATTTGTAGTGTGGTATTAAAATCCACATCTGTAAAACCAGAACCGTGTGTGCTTGTCAAGAGAAGTGAAAACCATTTCATCCCACTCACTCAGGATCAAACAGCAGCGTGATGTAATGCAGTGTCACTGCCATATTCTTTCATTTGTCCTGCAGTGAGAATGGAGTGGAGGATGAGGAGGACCTTTATGACTGTGTGTACGATGACGAAGAAGGCGGCGAGATCTACGAGGACCTGATGAAGACAGAAGCTGTCCCTCCTCCGGTTTGTCCACCTCTGTAACTTCACTTGAAAATGTTTTTGTTCTTGTTGTCAAAGCCTGGATGAAAGAAGTGATGCTACCATCATATCTGACATCTTAGGCCAGGGGTGGGGAACTCCAGGACTCAAGGGCAGGTTTTAGATATCACCCTGGGTCAACACACCCTAATCAAATGACTAGTTCATTACCAGGCCTCTGGAGAACTTCAAGACATGTTGAGGACGTAATGTAGCAATTTAAATCAGCTGTGTTGGATCAAGGACACATCTAAAACCTGCAGGAGACCAGCCCTTGAGGCCTGGAGTTCCCCCACCCCTGTCTTAGGTGATGGGATCAGACATGGATGGCACTTCCCTACTTGTGTCTCCAAGTGTTCAGCTGACCACTTGTGATCTTATTTTAAGCTCAAGGAATCTTTTATGGGCAGTTTCAGGCCAAATATAATGCAATGTGCAGTTTGTAAAAGCATTGGGGACAGTATGGAAAAATAACACCACATCCTGCACCGATAGCATATTTTTTTGTAGGTTCTTGTTTGGAAACCATTTAAAACATTAGTCATTGCACTAAAAATGAAATTCTCAGAATGTGGTATCTGTTTGAGAAAATATAGTATGAGAAATTGAACTTTTTTGAATTCTGAATGGACGTTTGATTGTATGGAGCTGGTCGTCATTGCTTTGTGGTTTCCATGAAACTTGGAATAGGAAAATTTACAAAATAAAAATTGGCCTTCTTTTATCTTTCCATCTGAAATATCCTTCAAAAGAGTTCTTCTGAAACTTGGCAAACTTGAACAAAAGCACTGAAAGAAAGTCAGATGAACCTTGGTGCCAAAGCAGATTCTGAATGCCTTTAAAATGCTGTTTAAATTTCAAATATACATTTTTTTAAATTTAAGTGATTATTTATCAATGTATCTATTCAAGTGTATAATGTGTGTGTGCGTAGGCGTTCCAGAAGCAAGCAGAGACTGACATCAGGAGTTGCTGCTTGACAGAGATCAAGCAGACAGAGGAGAAATACACTGAGACCCTGGAGTCTATAGAGAAGGTACACACTGGCTGACTGGTGGTTGTCATTGTGCAGCCGAGGCATCCTCACATTGCTACGTGCTGACTGAAATTTTAAGCAGGTAATCTCATCTGCATCCCATGCTGAGTTTGTACGCTGGCGATACTTGGAAACATCGTCTCGTTGAAGTAATCAGAATTATAACTGCCAGTTGTTGTGATTTGGTTACATCTCAGAAGTAAAAAAGCGGCCCCCGATCACAGGTTTAATGTGACATGACTGAATTAGTTTGAAGCTGCGGGCCCTCCGGAGTTCTCTATTAAACCTGCTGAGCGAGTGTGTCTCAGTTAGCGTGAGTGACGAGTACTTACCCACAAAGCTGTTGTGAAAGAACATAGGATGAAGCGCTTTTGGACATCTTTCACTAATATCCAGGTTGCCAGCACTGTTTCATAAATTGGTGTCAGTCTAACTAACTTTATTTCATTAGGTGGAAGTATTATCGCTCTGTTTCACTTTACGAAGGATGACTGGAAATCAATTTGGCCTCTTTATCACCTTCAATATGAGAAACTGTGAAACTGTAATGACCTCTTTTCGGGTGTAATGGAAACCAAAAAAAAAGCGGTGTAACACTCCGCACACCCAGAGAAAGAAGCGAGGTGAAGGATATATTTATATTTTTGAAATTAGCCGTGAGTAAAATGTAATCCCAGCACTCCTTCCAACAAACGCCCTGACAGAGAGCTCTGAGAGCAGCCGCTCGCCTGTGGATGTGTTCCACCTTACCCCGCACTTTTTACAGGACTGTCTTGGACTACTTGTCTTCTACCTCTTGTGTACGTTCACGTCTGCTAAAAGACCTCGCCTGATTTCCCAGAGGAGCGCCTCAGTAGATGACTTTCGATATGAAGTGGATGGTGGAATTTAGTTTGTGCTCGCCCGCTCCTTTGAAATGTAGAGGTGACTACACTGTGGGAGTTTTCTGAGAGGAAATCATTAAATTGCAAACTCTGAAAATGAGATTATTGTCGTGACCCAGACGCTCCTGCTTGTTTTCGCTGACTGCAGCTCTTTGCAACTTAGCCCTATAATATAATAGCGTCTCACGCAAAATGACTTTCCCGCTCTTACTCTAGAGGAACGAGGCTCTTTCTCTCCATTCATTCCCTCTCTGTGTTTCTCTCCTGCAGCACTTTATGATTCCCCTCAACACGTTCTTGTCCCCAGCTGAGATGGAGAAGGTGTTTGTGAATATTCCGGTAAGTCAACGCCTTTGGAAGCGGTCATCGTTGAGGGGGTTGCAAAATTCTCCTTTAAATGGTCTTTTTCCCCACCGACTGTCACAATAGGAGGAATGTAGAAGTGTAAATAATGAAAGGAATGATGGCTTAGCTTCACACCTACATGGCAAAATTCAATAAAAAAAAGATTTTAAACCTTTTTTAAATGTGCATTAAATTAACATGACAAAGAGACTACTACTACTATTTAAGAGGCTTAACTGTCCAAAACAGGTCACTGCTTTGTGTTGCATGCTAACATGCTAACATGCTGACATCAGATATGCTGACTGATTGATTTACGTTCACTGTTTGACTGTGAAATGCTAACAGTGACCAGAAAGTAGCAAGAACACCTCAAGATAATAGCAGTGTCTTTAGTTTTTAGGTAGGTTTGCAAAGGGAACATGATTTCAGTTTTGCTGCAGGCCTATACAATCAAAAAAAAGTTTTTTTATCAATATTATTCAATAAACATGAAGCATGAAAATTAAATGAAATTAGTTAAAGTCAGAATTTTGGTCAAAGATTCTTATTGAGTGTGTTGACATATTTGAGGTTGGTACCTCAACATTTAGTGAGCTGTGATGAGCATTTCTAATGATTTTCTTAGTCATAGATCAATAATGGAGTTATTGGAATGATCTGTAGATTAGGGGAAAGAAATTGTTAGATGCAGGAGTTTAATGATCAGCACTGAAGATTTGCTCTTGTTGTTGTTCAGGACCTGGTTAAAGTCCACAAGTGTTTACTGCTGGAAATCCAAGATTCAGTCCACCACAGAAGTGCCCAGAACCTTTACCAGATCTTCATCACTTTCAAAGAGAGGTGCACACGGGGACCTTTATCTAAAAACATTGTAGCTTATATATTATATATTATATATATATATATTATATATTGTATTTAGTGTTTTATGTAATCCTTTAACAGTTCTGTAAAGCTCTTGTGATTCTTTCTGTACATCCAAGAAGCTGCAAACTTTTATCTATATGCTGTGTTATGACAGGTTTCTGTGTGTTGTGTGTAAACAGTGTGTAGGTGTGAACCTATGTATCGCACCTAAGATCGTCACTGTGAAGACTGAGAAAACATTTAAAGTCCTACATGTTGTGTTTGGACCTTGTGTCCAGTCCTGCTGTAGTTTCTTCACTTGTCAAATCTACCCCAGGTTGTTGATCTATGGGAAATACTGCAGCCATGTGGAGACAGCCATCGCCACCCTCGATGACATCAGCAAAAACAGAGAAGACGTACGCATGAAGCTAGAGGTAAATAGTTTTGTGCTCTTCTTAAAGGATGAGTGAGTGGTTATTGTGCACTGCAGTGGAAGCTGTTTGCTTCCACAGCTTCTCAGGATGGTCAGACTACGCCCTCAAGTGTCTAACTGAGACATTGCCGGTGATGACACTGCAGCTGGAAGCAGAAATTACTCTAAAAAGCTGTGATGCTCGAGTTTGCTTGCATTTGCTTCTAGAAAGTAAAATAAAACCATTTCTTCCAAGTGAATTTAGTATTTTATTGATCCTTGTCTTTGTGCAGGAATGCTCAAAAAGAGCCAACTATGGCAAGTTCACACTGAGAGATCTACTAGTGGTTCCTATGCAGCGAGTGTTGAAGTACCACCTCCTCCTGCAGGTACTGTACTCCGTCCTCGTGCATCCTCGCTTGTAAATCTCAGCCCAAGTTTTCTTGAACAACTTTGAACCCTTTGCAGTAAACATTTATAGTGTTTAAAATATGTTTTATTTTTGCATCACGTAGATGACATCAGGCCATCACACAGCATCTTGTTGTCTGTAGACCATCAGAGTTAATGTTTTTTAAAGCCTGGACTGGCCTATAAATACATTTTAAATGTGTATCCCTGAAAGATTAAGATACTTTTCTATGCTGTGTCATCTTTGCTTTGTGTCACTCACTTTGTTAAATAGGCAGAATGATAAGGCGAGGATGCAGTTTGTGGTATAATGTATGGGATAAGAGACATGAAAAGATGCTATAACACACAAATGATTGCGGATTGTCTAATTGAGCGTCCTCTTATTTCTACCTAAGCTCCTGCTTCACAGCTGCACAGTTACTCTTCTCGTGGATGACTTTGTAAGTGACAGGGAGCTCGCGGAGTTTACAGATGCATCCCTGTGACCGAGAGAGAGAGAGAAGTTTGTTTCCTTCTCGATTATAAAATCAGTTTATAAGCAAGTGGACTCCCTGACACTACTCCTTGCAACCACCAGAGGCAGCGTTGACCACATTTTCTCTTTTGCTCCCCTCCTCTTTGCCTTCACTGCTCAGGCTCCGGGGCTCTTCTCTGTTCCTGTAGCTCCTTGATGACTGCGAGTCTCAAACGACCCGCACGTAATTGTCATCTGATGGAGACAATCAAGGAGGCGGTGAGAGAAAATAGATAAAGTGAAGTGGGGACTGAAAGGGAGAGCGGCAGACAGAACAAGATAAATAAGCAGCGAGACGAACAAACAGAAAGGGGAAGTATTATTTTGAACCGCTGGAAGCTCGGCCAGAGTCAGCGACAAGTTACTAATGTGTCACCGAAAAGGAAAACATTCCCCATTTAGGCCTTTTTAATCATCCAAAACCTTGCCATCCTTGTCTTTTATAATAAATTTTGAATGGATCACATATAATGGCCCGTTGAGTTTTTCCATTATTTTCATTTGGACATATTTGACACATTTTACACAATCCCAGAGACAAACTTGAGTATGCATAAATGTGTGACAGTTAACAGTGTCTCCATCATGCTTTCTCCTCTCTTCATGATAGCTGTGTGTGTGCACGTGTTGAATCTATGAGGAGGGTTTATATAGAAAAGCAATTAATAATATAGTCATCTGTGCGTCTGCAGCTGGATGACAGCAAAGTCGACGCATGCGCTGCTTCTTACACTTCGAAGCGCTCATTTACTCCTTTTCTTCAGGCAGAAATGTGCTTATTCCAACAGGGCTCCATAAAAAGCAACAAGAAAGTAGCGCCAAAAATAAAAAAAATATATCTGTAGGAACAAAGTGATTCTGTTTGTGTCAACATGGGCTGAGATCCCCTCGGAACAGCCGGGTAATAGCTAGCTGCAGCGAATAAAGCATCCGCTGAGTTACTTTCCCACACGGTGACAGCCAGATTCTGTACAACTAATGTCTTGTCACTTCCTCTCGCTCCCCGAGTACCTCTCTTAGCCGGTTTCTTTCTCTCTTTTTTTCTCATCAATCTCTTGCTCTTTCATCTTCGCTGCCTCCGCTCATCACGGCCCCCCACCCGCTGTACCTGCAGCGACACAAATCCCTGAATGAGTCCATCGTGCACGGGCCCCCGATATCAGTGTGACCACACCCTTACTGTGTATCTCGGGGGCTGCGTGGAGGTGGGAGCAAGCCTTGATAAATAGGCCTCTGTCGTCTTGCTAGTGATAATAATGCCCAGGTCGAGCTTGACTGACACCGGGGATTTGAGCAGCGCCGAGCGGACGCATATATCTCCCTTAGCGGCTCAGTGTGTGTGGACACAGTGGGTGTGCGCCCGCGTGAAGGACATGCATGGCATCCTTCCTTATCCTCCGCCGCCGAGGTCTAGATGTCTTGTTTACGCTGCGGCGAGGCACCGCCAAGCAATTTCAGATACTTACTTGCGCACACACTCCTGCAATAGATGAGCGCACACATACGCAGTATCTGATTCACTTCCACAGCGGCCGTTTTCCTGTCGTATCTGGAAAGCTAAAGCCTCCAGTCCACGCGTGGCGTGTGGCATGTGTATATCTCATGTAACCCTTTGTTTTATGATTCACAGCCTTTCCCTCCTTTTCACATTTTAGTTACTTTGTGTTTGTGGTTTGTTTTTTTTGTCCAACAGGAGCTTGTGAAACACACCCACGATGGCACTGAGAAGACGAATTTACGGACCGCCTTAGATGCAATGAAGGTACGTTTTCTTTTCATATGCTCTTATCCTTGGGTGCACTGAGGGTCCAGAACAGGGCCATTCACCCAAAACGTACAAAAACTAATCCTAGAAATGAAAGAGAAATAAGAGTTTTAAAAAGGTAAGTGCAGACAAAGCTACATGGGCTCTTTTGATGAGAAATGATGAGGCTTCAGTATAAGCCTGAAGGATATCTGGTCCTTCAGTTCATCTGCTGTTTCCACTTTCAAAGTAAATGACAATCGGAAGCAGATTGGCTCAAGACTCAAGCCCAGTACTGAATGCAGATGAAGAAATACATACCCCCAACACTAATTTCACAGAACAACCCATCAAAAGCTAATAAAATGTACAAAAAACCAGCTCATGTCAGAAAAGGTTATTTTGATTTTACTTCACATTGTACTCAAAATTCCTTCTGGTAAGAAACACAGTGCGTTCATGTTTGTTTAGGGTACCTGACATGATAATTGTGTTTTGAGAGCTGAAGGTGGTCGTTAGAAACACGAAGAAAAACACAAGATTTCAGAATATAATTGCCTAGTTTGTTCATGTGTTTTGGGGACTCTGGTTCCATTGTAAACAACAAACACAGCTTTGTTTTGTGTGTTTTGTACCTCAGGGGTCACCATATAGTATCTAAAAAAGTTACCATAAAAAGTTCCACTTCATTTCACTTGCTCAACTTTTTGTAACTGCAGATAAATAAAGAAGCCTTCAGTGAATGCAGTGTTTAGTCCTAATTTTGTAACCCTGAAAATCTGTTCAGTAAAGCTGAACGCTCAGCTTAATTAAAGTCAAGTTTATTTCATTGCACAAGATCTTTTTGGAAGAGAGAGACATGAAACTGCACATGAAAGAAACAAACTCCTCGGCACAGCTGGATACTCTGTACTGTATGTAAGTAAGTTAAAAGATGCTTCTTTGTTTTCCTTTGTGTGTGCATGTGTGTGTGTGTGTGTGTGTGTGTGCGTGTGTAGGATTTGGCGCAGTATGTTAACGAAGTCAAGAGGGACAACGAGACATTGCGAGAAATAGATCAGTACCAGAAATCCATTGAAAATCTGGTAAGGTACAGCTTTCTTTGAGATAATGACTGACAGCTTTTCAGAATGTCTTTCCTCCAGATAACTTTCATTTTTCTCGCCTGCAGAATCAGCGTCTGAGTAACTACGGGAGACCCAAAGTTGACGGGGAAGTACGGGTGGCCTCGGTGGACAAACGAGCCAAGCAGGACAGGTGAGATGCCGCGAATGGCTGGATGACTGCAGTCGAAAGGGAATCAGGTGTTACGGTTGGAAACCTGCCAAAGTGTTGTTTCAGACTAAACCCGTGAGATTTGTGCAAACTGAAGCCAGTGAAGTATTATTACTCAGTTAAAACAAAGCACATGCTATGAGCATTTAGCTTATGCTGTTGTTCTTTAGGAGCTTAACAATAACATTGAACCAGTCATATAGATGAAACTGGGCTGGGCGTCTTTTTCCATTAGAGAGATTTTGTATTGTTAGCTACGCCTTGAAACTTTAATTTGCCTGTTAAAATAACAGCCAGCCTGAGAGTCTCTGCAAAGCCATTACAGGAACTGCAGAAGCCGACTGCTTCCAAATGCACTACTTCTTAGTCTCGTGTCACCCCTCATTTCTTTATATTTTGCTTCCAAGGAGCCAGACTTTCTTTTGTCTTGAGTAATAGTTCTCCAGGGCTTGTCACTCAGTCCAGTACCTGAACATTTTTTTTGCTTTATTTGTTAAGCCACTTAACACTGACCTGCAAACAATTCAAGCATAAAAAGGGCACTTCACCCAAGAGATGAACCAGCGTTGTGTCAGCACAAAGCAGACACCCTAGCAAAGAACCAGTTTTAAAAACATGGATTTTTTTTCTGATTTCTTTAGTTGATACTATGAATCAGTTGAGTCGGTCTGACAGACATGAAATAGTATTTCAGTGGCAACAAACTGACTCCCAAAGAGTTGTTAGCTAAAAAGGTGGCATACCTCAGCATGATGTGCAGCATGTCTTTAAAAACAGAGTGGTACCTGCACAAACTACTACATACAGCACATGAACGGTATCTGAAAATCTTGCAAAAATCTAGAAAGTAAAGGCCTGATACCAGACCTGAAGGATGTATCCGGTCCTTTGTCTCATCAGAAATGGTCTCAGTGAAAGGGTGGCTGTCAAGAAGCCATTCTTAAGGAGGAGAAACAGGGAGAAGAGGCTGAGATATGCCAGAATACACATATGTCTGTGAAGGTTCTCAGTCATCCAGGTCATCGTAGTCTAAGGAGCTTGGAAAGAAAAGTGTCTGGACTTCTTTAAGTTGCTTGAAGACGTTTCACCTCTCATCCCAGAAGCTTCTTCAGTTCTAATTCACCCGTTTTCACACCTTGGCTCATGTGATTAGTTAGAGCATAGGTGTCAAACTCTGGCCCGCAGCCTAATTACATTTGGCCCACAAAGCCATACCAAATTACTATTAGAGCTGGCCTACTGGTATTATACAGCTAATATATATATCGTTCAGTATTAAGCTTTGCTTGTTCCATATTCAGTTTTTCAGCAAAACTTGTTTGAATCCATAAGAAAAGATTCATTCTTATATCTGGAGGAAGATTTTTTTTTCAATAAATATTAATGTTAGCCCGCAACTTTGTTCCAGTTTTGAATTTTGGCCCACTGTGTATTTGAGTTTGACACCCCTGAGGTAGAGGATCATCAGGGGGTCCTTTTGTCCCTCTGTGGGGGGAAACTCCCACTGGGTTTAAATCTGCAACTCTCCACCATTTGACCTTAGAACTGAAGGAGCTTCTCGGATGAGAGGTGAAACGTCTTCAAGCAACTTAAAGAAGTCCAGACACTTTTCTTTCCAAGCTCCTTAGACAGAATACACAAGAACTATACTAAAAATCAGAGGCAAAAGGTCGTATAGAGTGATTAATCCAAATGTAACATTTTTGAATCGTACCATTGTCAATATGTGTGAAGAAGAATAAAACATGGTGCAATCTCTGCCATGGTTTGGGACTGCATTTCAGTCAGTTGTGTTGGGCATCCTGTCAAACAATCAATCATGGATTGGACTCCCACAAGCACAGACCTCGACGTTATTGAAACAGAGTATGATCATGTTGAGAGAGAGTAAAACAAAAGGCAGCCCGTGTCTAACGAAGAGCTGAGGATGTCCTCCAAGAAGCCTGGAGAACGATTCCTGAAGACTTTAAAAAAAGAGAGTTCAGTCTGTGTTGAAGAATAAAGGTGGTCATACCAAATATTGACCTTCAAGCTTGTTAGAATCATAAAAATCACTTTTTGCCTTAAATACTGAATTTGACACAACTCCTCGGTGTGAATAACATGAACTACTAAGTGAGATGTGCTTGAATTTACTGGAACATTTTTGGATTGCAGGCACATCTTCCTGTTTGACGCTGCGGTCATTGTTTGTAAGCGGCGAGGAGACAACTACGAGATGAAAGAAGTGATCGACTTGCACCTCTTCAAAGTCACCAACAATCCCACGTCGGACAAAGAGAACCGAAAGGTCTGCGCACACACAGACACGAACAGTCAATAAATATGTCTAAGATGCATTTACTGAATTTGTATCATTATTAAATAGTAAACAATCGTGCTTTAGCTTTAGCTTCTTACTTTAGCTTTGCTGTTGGTGTGAGTGAACCTGTTCACACACACACTGGCATGTCACGTGTAGCTGACAGCAGACAGGTGTAGTGAATCGATATTAATCGAGTTGATGACAAACGTTATGTTACTGCAGGTGTAATAAAAGCTTCCCATGTGTTACACCAAACCAAACAAGAGAGAGAGAGGCCAATAGGGAAATCATTATAGCTTTCAAGTTTTGTCGACTTGCTTGACCACAGCGTGCACTTAAATGAAAAACTACAGCAAACATATGAAGGAGAACCATTGGTATCGTAGGTGTGAAAATGCCTCCAAACCACAACCCCTTTAATGTTACCTCGCTATGTGAGCTCTCCCACTAACGAGTGGTGCATTGCTGCTTAGCAAACACAGAATACAGAACTGAAGAATAGATCGGCCCCCTCTTGTGTCAGAGACTGTATCAAGCTTTGTGAGTCTGGACTGAACCAGTATCTGATCCAAATATTGAATTGGTAAATCACTAGCAATGAGCTGAACCTGGATCTATATGGGCATCTGCTGCAGTCACAAAGTGCAGAAATTACAGCTCATAAAGCAGTGTGGCTCTAATGATTTCAAGAAATCTGAATAAGAAAAGCTTTCACAGAGTGGAAAACTGAAGGGCCCATGAAGAGCTGATGTGGGATCCTAGTCTAGCTGTCACAGGGCAAGAGGCAGGGTGCACACTGGACAGGTCACCACTCTGTCACAGGGCTAACGCAGAGAGCGAGGCAGCCGCTCACATGCACAACTTTGCACTGTTTCCTGTTAAAAGGGTGTTTTTCCTTCCCACTGTCACCAAGTACCTGCTCACAGGGGGTCATCTGATTATTGTAGGTTCTTTACCTTACAAAATAAAGTGTCTTGAGGCAACTGTTGAACTAAATTGAATTAATAGTGTTAGATGAAGGCACAGAGCGAACGTGCAAACTTCACACAGAAAGGCTCCAGCCAGTGGATTCAAACCCAGGCCCTTCTTTGGCATCAGCCATACTTTTCTAAAATCTTTGAACAATAATAATAAAAGTATGTGGTTATAAATAGGGACAAGAGGTAAACGTGATTTTAAATGAGGTTTTTGCAGAGCCAAAATAACACCGGGCTGTTTTGTTGCACACATTCGGATTTGTCATGTCTCAATAAAACACAGGTAACTGAGAATCTTTGTACGCATGACTCTATACTACATAATGTTAATTAATACTATTAGATGTAAGGTGTACTTATGTTTGACAGGCGTTCAGTGTAAGAAAGAGCTGGCTGTTGAATGACCACCAGCAGTGTTTAATGGTATTTGAGAAGCAGTTCAATATCAGGTCAGGGAACTGGGAAAGTGAACAAATACTTCATCACATCACATATACCAATCACTCAGGAGTAATACAGTAAACACAATGGTGCATCAATATTGAGAAGATGTGTTCAGATTTTATTATGTAAAGACATGAGGAAATTTATAATGTTGTAGAACATGGCCAGGCCCCCACACTGCTCATGAATAAGTCTCTCAGGTGAATTCAGCTAGCATGTACCTGCCAAGGAACATGCTTTTCTACTTTCAGGAAAGATATTGGCATTTCTCAGTCCTTTCAGACTTTTTTTTCTTTTTGTTTTATCTTTCTTTGGTTCCAAAAGAAGTAACTCTGTTCCACTTTTGGCAAAGCCACAGTGGTGATGTTGTACCACAGACACGCGGAAACATTCGCCACAATTCAATCGAGCTGTCAAAAATGAACCAATGCTGGCATTTTATGTCTCTACCAGCTGTGAGGTTTATTCCTCACAGCTGCACAAAAACAAGCGTGTTAAGCGCTTTAAAAACTGGTTGATTAGGCTGAAGACTGACTTGTGGAAGAAAATGTCAGTCAACTGACCTGACACATCACAGCTGACAGAGAAGTATGATTGTGACTAAGTCCCGTTGAAGCCGCACTGATCCGCTTCATTAACTGAATAAGAAAATATGCCCCGAACATTTAGCTTTTAATTTTATGGCGTGTTATCATCTTTCAGAAAGCAATAACCCACTTTAAGCTGTGAGTTACAGTGATTTTATAACAGCTAAAAAGAGCTTTAGATGACATTTAATTTCACCCAGGGCTCCGTGCCATCGAGTCTGTCTCAGCACGACTTCATTCTACATTGTGGCTTTTCTGCTGCTGTAATAGACGATGTGAAAAAGTAATAAAATAATAACAAAACTTGCTTATTATTATGCTGTAAAACAAAACAGAACAAAACAACAATCTGATATAACAACCAGTCAGCTATAATGGAGGCAAGTCTTGCACTGTTGAGCCCATTATCGCCTCTTTACGACTGAGTCAGCAAAGCTCCGAAACCGCGTTGGACTCCTGACAAACCAATTAACAGCGCTAGTTCTGCATAATGAAGCGCCATAACAATTTATCAGTTAAATGCGAGTTCACAAAATTGACTCAACTTGCTTCTTCACAGCTATTTTCTAACCACCTGTAACAGCAACCTCTCCGCCCCGGTGCTGCCGTCTGTGCCGCAAGTCCCCGAATGTGCTGCTTAAATAGGTTCTGTGCAAAAAATCTTTCCAGCTCGCGACATAAACAATGAAATAATCAGCTGCAAAGAATCTTTCTTAAATAATTTGGTGCACGCTTATTCCAGCACATGTTTTACATTGTCTTGTTCATTTGCAAGGATCACACTGACACAGTGTCGGACTACAACAGTCTGCCTCCTCCCAGATGGTGTTATCATTAAACCTCGCTTTGGGCCTGACTACACACAAACACACGGTGAATACTAAATGCCAAGTGGGGGAAATATTGCCAATCATAATGAGGAATGATATCTAAGGCGTTCCAAGAAACAGTGATTTGGGTAATAATGATGCTGTAAATAGCAGACATTAGGAAGCTTAGACCCATATGGGTTTATATGGTTATATTTTATGAAACTTACAGCCAACTCTGCGTCATTCACCTCTGACTTGATGGATATAAAGCAGTTTGTTTGATTGCATATTTATGTTCGAGATGATGGAGATGACAGTGGTGTCTGAGGGAAGTGGCAATAAGAACCTCCATCAAACCAGCGGCATTTATGTGCAAGTCATCTGGAGGTAAAAGAGTCTTAAACTCCTTTAACTCATAAGCCAAATGCAAACAACAATAAGAAAACTTTTGCCAAATTACCGTCATTGTGTGGAAGCCAACTTCTCAATGCTATAGCCTACGGTTTTGTAGCAAATAATCAAAGCTCAAATAATTACATGCAGGGCATCACAAACATTCACAACAACTGTCGCCTCAAGGTGCTTTATATTGTAAGGTAAAGACCATCGATAATACAGAGAAAACCCCAATAATTTGACCACCCCCTGTGAGCAAGTGCTGGGCGACAGTGGGAAGGAAAAACTCCCCTTTAACAGGAAGAAACCTCAAGCTAAACCAGGATCAGGGAGTGACCTGTTGGGGGTGGGAAGGACAAAAGATGATCAGGAGGGGGAGCTGGGGTTCAGGAGGCAGCACGGGTTGCCTCTTAACTAAAGGGTCGGTTATTTGATCCCTGGCTACGACTAACTGTATCGCTTCCAGTAGATTCAACACGTGTGAATCTCAGACAGAGCACATAAAAGGCTCTGTGATTGGATTTGTAGCCACAATTTTTTGAGTGCTCAGCTAAAATCAAAAAGTGCTACATTAATACCAGACTAGTCTTTTAGGTCATTGTTTGAGGGCAAATTTAGCCCCAAATGAAAAATGTTAAAAAAAAACATCCATATGATTACTGTCCCAAATGTTGACTTTATAAAGGTACCAGCTAAAAATGTCCTTTAGTTGTTATTGACAACTAGTACAGAGTTCAAATTAGGCTGGATTATGTCTCAAAAAGGTAAATCCAAATGCTAATGCTAATGCTAATGACGCTTAGCATCTTCTGAGTGTGTAAACAACTAGTTGTAAGGAAAGATTACTGCTTTACTGTCAACATTACTGTTGGACAATGTTCCCTCAAAATTGTATCATTATGTTTTTTAATGAAATTTGCAATAATGCCATTTTTGATAATACAGAAGGTTTTTGTAGTTGCTCCCTTTCTAGATGCTAAATTGTTGTGAGGCTGGGATGTAGCTCTCACTCTCAGACATGTTTGGGCTTGTCTCGTTGTATAAACATGTGAGTGGCTATATCATTAATATCACAGTGTTACATCTTTTTGTCACATAAAAATGCCCAAAACACAAATACTACAGTATATTGCTGTTGCAAAAAAATTGCCTATTACATGTTTAATTATAAGTCAGTGTGTTGTAGCTGGCACTTTGCTAATTTTCATAGGTGTTTCTGTCTTTAATGGAGTGTTTCCAGGAGTACGGGGGAAAAAAATAAAGAGTGAATTTTGAATATGTTTCATGAGTATCGAGTTGATCTACTCATGTATTAATGTAGCAATGACTTTTGAGTACTCATGGGTCTGAACTCCACCACCAGTTAGTCTCTAGCATTTTATAATCTTTCTGAAATACCACAGTTCACTCTCGACATTGATTCACATGACAAAGATATAAGCATGGGTCAAAATAATTGATATTTTGGCAAGATCCACAAAGAAATATTTGACATTATAAGCCTTGGTGTGTAATCCCTTTGAATGCCAAGCAAAAGCATAGGAACTGACAGAAAGACAGACAAGCACCTCCTGCTTCTCTTTACAAATTGGTAGCTAGATGATATCTTTGCTGAGTGCAAGTTTTGGTGTCCACTGGGAATGCTTCTGTAGAGCGCTGCTTTCCTTTTCTCTTTTCATTCAATAGAGAAGATGAGCCGCTGTGCTTCGCTGACAGCGCTGTGAGTTTGGCTTGTTTTTAGCTTTCAGAGCTGAGTGCTACAAGTTCAAAACCACAACTGCGAGTCATAAAAAGTGCATCTCTCGAGCATCTGTCTTGTAATGTTGTCTAAAAAAACCCCAGATGCCTGTGTTGACACAGAGGCTAATGGACTAATATTTAGCCTTTGAAGTGGATAATGGTAACAGATTACAGGCCCGTTCACTACTTGGGTCTGTGCATGCAGTCTGATGCCTAGCAGTTATATGGCCCAGCCACCTCGCACTCATTTTCTCCTTCACGCTCTGCCTCGATGTTTTGTCTCTTTCTGTCATTTCTTCTGCCCTCCAACCCTTCAGCCTTTGTGTTTGCTCTCCCCGAGGCATCCCTCTTTCATTTTGCATCTCTTTGTCTCCATCTGTCTCCCTGCATCCTGTCTCGTTCGGCTCCCTCCCGCTCGGTTTGTCTTTCTCCGAAACCCTCCATTTTTTTATTTGGCATTGTTGCACCTTGTGAGTCAAGTGTTTTTCTTTTTCTCTGTTGCAGTGGTCCTACGGATTCTACCTCACTCATAACCAGGGCCAGAGCGGCTTTGAGTTCTTTTTCAAGACCAAAGACCTGAAAAAGAAGTGGTTGGAACAGTTCAGCATGGCCATGTAAGTGAGCAGCTGCGTCACAAGAATGTCACGACATCAAAATGCAGAGCGCTTTTAGTCCTGTTATTCAAGTTAGGCCACTTGATTTATGAGGAACTTTTCTCCATCTCCATTTATGAGGAACTTGACACCGTGACACAAAGATGAACAGACGATAGTGTGCGCTAACGCGAAACTTTATACTCAGAAAGCTTAACTTGGATGCGTTTCATTAAAACATCAGGTGTCAACCGCATCAACCACCCTTCACCCAGAAATGCATTCATATTTAGCCAAAGTGACAAACTGGTTCCAAGAAAGTCAAACTAGTGCTTCACTTGTAGAGCCAAGAAAGAAGACGCAACCAGCTGTATTCTCTGACTCACAATTAGATAATATACTAGGAAGGGCAGTATTTTATTGCATGAAGAAGCAGACTTTATTTTTATATGGAGTCTTATCCCATCACACAGTACACACAGTTACTTTCATATTTCATTATAATCATGGAAATACAGCCACACAAGCACACAAGCTGCTGCATACTTCAGTCTAAGTGAAGATGGTTAGGGAGGACTGTGAAGCTCACGTGAAACGAGTTACAGTAATCTGTATGTAGACCTCTGCATCATTAGAGTATATAATGAACAATACATTTAAAATAATAAATTGCACAAAGTGTTTTTTACATTTACATCATTTACAGTATTTCGTGATTCAGACTTTAAACTGGGTGTAATAAAATCTCCAATTGGCTGATTCAGATTTCTTGCAGCTTCTCAGATGTAAGATACAGGACTGGATGAATTCAGAGATGTTATGTTTAAAATTCAAATGCTGTTAAACAATAATACCAAGATTGTTAGTAGAAGATGTGATTCGGGGCCGACACAAGAATATCAGATGCAGAGGTGCCGAAAGTACAGATAGCTCTGTACTTAAGTAGAAGTACAGATGCTACTATTGGAAAATACTCCACTAAAATTTGAAGTACTGATTCAGCTTCTTTAGTCAAGTAAAAGTGAAAACTTTGAGTATTTTCTCTGTACTCAAAGTAAGAAAGTAAAAAGTAGCTCTTTGGAGGACATTTATACCTGATGTGTTTGTGCAAAGCTAACTGAACCTTGTGGTATATTGATGTAATAATAAATAATATTAGTAGATACATTTCAATTCTAATAAATGTACTCGGCTTGAATCAGTTAAGTAAAAAATGAGCAGAGAAAAGGAAAGAAAGTCAAAAATAGCTCTATTTGCTGTTGTGTACTTTGTAGAGCATGTCTTTATCTGTAAACAGGAAAATGAGTAAATCTGGTGATTCATACACAAACAGGATTGCCTGTCATGTGTTACTGTTTAGGCTCAAATCCGTTTAATAATGACTCCCCTCAATGTCAAAGCAAAAGTAACGAGCCCATTTTGAAAATGTAAGGAGTGGAAGTAAAAGTACAGACACCTGATAATTCTCCTGAAGTACAGTAATGAAGTATTTGTACTTTGTTACTTCCCACCTCTGCTGAGATGGAGTAAAAGTTGAAATCTGTAATTATTCCAATTATTATTCCAATCTGTTTTTTTTAAATCACTGAGGTTGTTGTGATTGATTTGATGTTTTGGTGCCACTGCTGTTAGGTAGATGGGAGACTGCATATAGGAGAGGAGCTGGTGAAGACAGGTAGTTATTGTTATATATTATGACGTGCCTGTCACATAAGTATGATGACAATCTACAGTGACAACTTCACACACTGACTCTTGGCCAAGAACCCCGTCTCAGCTCAGAACCCCTGCACAGTGATGTCCCTTTTTAGGGCCGATTTTCATTGTGTGAAAGAATAAAATAGAAAAATCCTGCAGAAACCTTCTTGGTATCACTTGACCTTTACTGTTGTATCTGACTTTTCCTTTTTTGTTGCATTTGGGACTCCAGTTGAACTCTATTGGAGTCACTGCACGCTGAAAAATGATGCTAAAAGGGCCTACACAGTACCTTACAATGTGAAACCTGCAGGTCCTGACCAAGCATGAGTGATAGTCCTGCACAATGATGCGATAATGCACAGTGTGACAGCACGGGGCTCAAACATGAAATAAAGCTGTGATTCTGTTAATCAGGATTATAGTAATTTTATTTGTCGAGACCAAGAGGTGCACCGGAATCCCTCTTTCAAAACGGAGAAAGAAAAACACTGAGGACAGAGGCTTAGACAGGGAAGTATATTACAGTGCAGGACAGTGTTATATTTAGTGAAGTTTTGGGCACCAACACTGATGAAATGAACATGACATCTACAGAGCCACAGTGGAGATTATACAGCTGTTTTCACACACTAACTGGTTTTCCTCCAGCTGAGTAAACTGACGGATGTGTAAATATATTGCATAAATAAACGAAGTATTTGATCAGTGTTGGTGGTGCTGACTTTATGTGAGTATTTATCTGCCAAATCAGACATGCGGCGCTGCCTGCTGTGGTGACCCCTTGTGAATAAGTGAGCAGCTGAAAGTGGCTTTAAAGTGCAAAAGACCAACACCCCCTCAGAAGTATGGAGGGCCACAAGTGCCAAAATGAATTAAATAAATACATAATTAAATATGTAATTAATGAATGAATATAGTAATTAATAGTAGCAGAGATGACAAAAGTACAGACATTTTCCTCTGTAGGGCAGATGCCAACAACTTATGGACACCTCAGTCCTGTTGCTGTGCCAATAAAACAAACAAAGAAAAAATCCTGCCCATGTTAACTCCTGACTATGGCGCATGGTTTTGCCTCTTTTATCTCTTTTTATGCGACATGCTCTGGTGATTAATACACGAACAGGATTTCCTTTCATGTGTTACTAAATGCTCATAGTGACGTGAAATAATATCTCCCCTCAAACACGTCATGACCATTGATCAAAGCCCACTGATAAATGGCCATGAGTACCATTCACAGAGAGTTGGGGAATGGCTGCAATCACAGCATTGTAAGATGGTGAAAGATGTACCCTTAGGCCCCCTCCTCGATTCAGAGATGGTCTTTCACTTTTCACATAAATAGCCTCCTTGACTCTGCGCTCAAACCAGTGTTCCTCCCTGTCCAGGATGTGTACATCCTTATCATTGAAAGAGTGTCCACTGGTCTGTAGGTGTAAATCACCTTTTGGGAATTACTTACCTGGATGACTGAGCATGCATCAAGACATTTAAATAATTATATATTTATTTATCTCTAATTAATTATTGACAGATTTAAATATTTTTTTTTTATATATATTTTTAATTTACTTCATTTTGGCACTCTTGGCCCTTCATACGAGAAGCAGTATCAGTTTTATTATCATTAAATAAACATTAGTGTCATTAAATCTGTGGATTACTACATTTTCCTATAGATCGATGGCATAGGGCAGCTGTTATTGTATTAGTTTGTTGTTACACTTCTCACTGTAGCAGCAGTGAGTTGACAACAGTCTGCTTCTCCTGCAGGCTCTGCCTCAATTAAAACATAAAAATGAAAAAAAAAGAAAAAGACAACAATAGAACAAAATCTGTGAAATAACATCTTCAAGAAGGCATCAAAAACATGAAGTGTTGTGTGATGTGAAACTGAGAAAACTGGAGCTTTGGTTGATTAATATCTGGGGCTCAGCTAACGAGCTATGAGACTTGAGAGGCGTTGCCAAACAGCGACGCGCTCCCACGGTGATGCTTAATAGATGATCTGTGAACAGTTGTTTTCTTACTCGCTGCCTTTATGTCCAAACCACCCAGAATTTACTGCTTGACTAAGATTTAGCAGCCACGAGAGGTAGAGGTGGTCACACCGTGTATGCAGGGAAATAAAAATTCAACATAAACCTTTGCTTGAACACCACACAGTAAGGCCTCTATCCTTGAAGATAAATTCAAATGAAGTCACACTGTGAGTTTATAAGTCTTTAAAATCGAGGCTCCCTTTCAAGGCAGGTTTACGCTGCACAATGTTGCACTGGATAGCTTTACAAGCTTCAAATCGAAGAAAAAATGAAGCTGTGCAAATGCTTTTACAATGACACAGTTACAAATTTCACATATTTTAAGTTCTGTATTTTTCAAGCAGACCTCCTTCTTCTGGTACACAATTTCTAGCCAGTGACAGTGTTGACCTCAAAGCCGATGTCTTGGTTGACCCGGGTACAGAAGAGAAGACAGCGCTGAAATTCCCCTTTCTGCTATTTTATTCTGTCTCAGCCCTGTTTGTCCTGTTTTCCACTGAGCATGTTGTAACCCATTACCTTAGTCTGAGATTAAGCACTTGTACATAGCAACCTAAATTCTTATGTAAACACTAATGCCGAAAACAAAGAAATGACCTCTGGAACATAAATATATGGACAAAGCTGAGACATGTCTTTCTTTTCTTGTTTCCTTTTTGCTTTCCTCCGTACTCCCACCCATGCAACCATGTCCCAAGGGGCCGAGAACACCTCTCGTGTTCACTCCTAGTAGACCTTGGCTGTGTGCTTGCAATTCTCTCCTTCCCACTTCAAAGAAGCGTGTCAGGGAAATGTTGCTGTAGCCATGGAGGAGTTTGTTGGCTGCAATTATAAGTGGGAGAAAAAAAATGTACTTTTTTGTTCTTTGAAATTGACATTTTCATCAAAGAGCGCAGCTGATTGGAAAGTGTAACAAATAGGGGAGCAAGCAAGAATTAATTTTCATTCACTAATTGACTGAAGATTGGTCATTGTATATTATAGTTTGATTTTTGCTAATCAGGTACATCCATAACTTGTAGGCTTAGAGTTAAACAAAAGTTTGTTGTGCAGTACTGTGCAAAAGTCTTGAGCTACCCCTCTTTTTTTAATTCCACAGAGTCGCACTTCCTTATTATTATTTTTTTTCAAATTGTGATTCCAGACACCTCAGCTAATAATCAATTTTAATGGTATCTTTAGCACTTTGTAACTAGCATCCTACGCGTAACTTGTTCCCATTTTTTTGTTGAATCTATGAAAAATGCCAAAGATTACACAGTTTGACAGGAATAAAACGGTAATTTTGTAACAACAAGCTAATTCCCAAAGAGCTGTTAGCCAAAGACTTGCATCTCTGCATGGTGTGCAGTCTACCCTCAAAAAAGTTGAGGAAATTAGACAAGTGGAGAACAAAAAAATAGAGATTCCACTTCAGTAGCAAACAGTATCTAAAGAAACAGATAAATAATGTTTAGAAATGTGGAAAAAACTGGAGTAGGCTGCGCTATGCCAAATTTGATAAGAACATGACTGAAAATCTTTTGCAAAAGCTCTGAATTTGAAACTTTTGGTTCAAATTATTGAATGTATGGAGGAGGTCAGTAGTGAGGTACAATAGTTAGTATCTACAGCAATCTGTAGCAATCTGGTGGACGCTCTGTCATGGGTTGAGGCTGTATTTCAGGCAGTGGCGCTGGAGGTCTTTCAAAATTGACAGAATTTTGAACTCAGTATTTTCAGATTTTGATCCACTAATACAATACAATGACATCTGGAGAGCCTCTGATTGGCAGTGGCTCAGTTTTTCAGCATAGCAATGATCCCAAACACTGCCAATACAGTAAAAACATACCAAGATAAAAAAAAAAAAACCCCACATAATTGGACACTATCAGCCTTTATACATGTTAGTCCTCACCCAGGGTAACATTTATAAAGAAAACAGAATGGGTTTAGGATTGAGCCCTGGGGGACTCCACGTATGAAGGGGTGCAGATGAGGTTGTTAATAGGAATTCTGAAGTAAGTGCAATGTATGATGGAAACCAGTGATGTCATCTCATTTCTGTAATTTGTTAGTAAGAATGGAATCAGTGGTGTCAAAAGCTGCAGTTTAGCATCACATTAGTGCCCGAAGTGCCTGGTTTATGCGGAGTAAATTGAGATGTCTGTGAATCTAGTGTTTATCGTGCATTGTATCTCTTTTAGATCCAACATTCGGCCAGAGAATGCGACCAACAACCACCATGAATTTCGTATGCACACCTTTGAAAGAATCACCTCCTGCAATTCTTGCCACATGCTGCTTAGGTAAGAGATTGCTATCCCACAAACACACACACACACACACACACACACACACACACACACACACACACACACACACACACACTGTACAAGCAGAACAAAATCTGCTTTGAGGCTATTGGCAGACATAAAGACTGAGGCGCTGTGGACCCTTTCCCTTCAGACAACTGTCAGGATTCCTTTGAAAGACCTCGGCTCTTCCTGTTCCTCTCCAGTGTACCCTAACAATCTATTCGTCACTTTGCCTTTGCCCCTCTTCTTTTCTGCCTTGGCTACACAAAGTTCCTTTTGAATTCACTGAATGGTATCGGCACCCAAAGGACTGCGGCCCATGGTCTCTCTCACAGTGGGAACGACTGAGTGGTCTCACCTTCCACAGACGGTGAAGAAAAATGTCTGTCACACTTCAGCACTTCTTCAAGGCAATGGGTGGGGAACGGGGACAAGATTATTGCACTGTGAATATACAGAGCCATGCAGCAGATTCACCAACAGAATAATAAAACTGTCTGAAGTGTATCTTTTCTTTTTTAGGACGCTGGACTGCATCTTTTATCATACCTCAAGTTTTTCCTCTAATAGTTATTCTTCCTTTAGAGTATTGTGTTACGGCTATTGTTCCAGAGCTCTTCATTTACCTGTAGCTGTATGTATGCATTTGAATGGAGTCACTGAGAAGTCACGTTTATCCTGTGACTGTAAGATTATTTTCTAAAACTTTAAAGTATTTCTTAAACAAGACTTTGCCTTGTGTAGGGGAGAGTGTGGGTAATTGTAACACACCAAATTCCTCAAAGCAGAAAGAAGCCAGAGTGATTACACTTACTCTGCACATGCTCATTTGCATTCTGCGTCTGCCTGTGGAAGAGATACAGAGATTACTTTGGCAGAAATTCTCAGGGCTGAAACAAAATTTTGATGTAAGAAAGTCCATTTTTGGATCGACAGCATTTCTCTTCTGCTGCCTAAAGTTTAGATGATTGTGAATTTAACCTCGCATCAATTTTATCTGTAGGTTAACGTGAGAGCAGGGGAGCTATTGTAACACTCTGGCTTCTTTCTGCGACAGACAAAGCGCGATCTCCTCGTGTTTTAATGCTTTACATCTCAGATGTCCCTGGACTGGGACCATGGTGTACCTGTTATTATTGTAGCCGCCACCATTTGTCAAAGGCTGTCACCTTTAGTGAAAAGGCCACCAAACACTAGTTTGATTCAAGTGGGTTTGGTGTTAAAAGAGTTGAAATGATGTTGGTGTTTGCTGAGTTGCTCTTATTTGCTCTCCAAATACAAAGTTGCTTTTGAATTTCTCTTTGGTCCAGTGATGAGGATAAGAAGGCTTATTGTATTTCAGAATTTAATTTAAATGTTACTCGCGGAGCTCGAGGTTGTTTATTTTAGTCTTACACTTGTCGCTGATGTTTTTTCAGGTAGAAGGAGGGCTTAAGAGGTTACATTCGCTTTCCTGCTTCGTTCTCCAAATAAGAAAATAAGACTTTGCTTTCATCTCGTTATGTTTTTTAGAGATGTCCTTCCATCCCATTCCCATTAACAGTGTGCAGCAGAAACACAGTGACAAACGTTAGCTTGGACTCAAGCTTAAGGATAAGCACACTTGATTTTAATGATTAAAGGTCAAAGGTCAGGGTGGCCGTGTTTTAGGAACTTGTAAAAAGAGAAAATGATATTTTACATCTAAAATGGTCACGAGGAGACCGTGATCATGGTTGGTTGAATGCTTAAGTATCATAGAAATTAGTAGCTTCTTTGTAGCAACATTTACATTCAAGGCCTTGTCTACTGTTAATGCTTCGTGTCAGATCAACCATGTGACCACACGCGAAGACTCATGGAGGTATTAGCGACTGTTTTATCTGTATATCTCGATGTCCCTCTGGTGGCTTAGCCATCTGCTGAGCAATTGGCATCCTCAATCCATAGACGCTTAAAATAGGTGAGGAAGAAGTTAGTAATTGTAACAAATTTGAAACAATCTGCCCTTCAACTCAACTGGCAACTCCCCCCCAACTGTTTATGAGGCATTTCACTCAACACCCCAAATGTCACAGTCATGTCGGTGCAAATGGAAGTAAGGTGATCGCCACAGTCCTCAGGGTTACACCATCAAGCTGCCATAAATGTCAAACTTCGCAGCACCCCTAAATGAAATGGAAAGGCAGCGCTGCAGCGTCAGTCAGTGTAAATTATTTGCACAGGTCGCTTTGCAAACTATACAAACTGACAGAAAAAAAGGCAGCGAACTTTTTTCCACATGACACTGAATCCTTTGACCGCCTGTAAACACGCAGCTCCGATTATTTTGTTCCTCCACAGCCATTGCTGCCCCTGTTTGTGACTGCCATGTATTCTTATGATGAACTTTCCTGTGTCTGCAGGGGCGTCTTTTACCAGGGCTACTGGTGCTCCAAGTGTGGTCTAGGTGCCCATAAAGAATGCCTGGGCCGTTTCGGCTGCTGTGGAAAAACAGGTAAGTTTATTCGACCCCAGATCGAGTCTGCAAAACTTCCGCACCACACGACTCACAGCTGCACGTCACCGAGTGGAATGTTTTTAAGAGGAGACAGTAAATCTAATTGCACGAATAGAACTGCACCTTTATGGCCGCATTAACACGATGACAGATGACGCAAAGTGGCGCATAAAACCTGATGTACGAGTGTCTTGTGACAACTTATGGCCATGGGTGGGATTTGTTGCGGTGCGATTTGAAAAAAGAAAGCGCTGCACTGTGGCATTCTAAACAGGACGAGGGTTTGTTACTTTGCGTGTGTCCTTGCGCCTCTGCACCAAGGTCATCCACGTATTCGATCGCTACCGCAGTCGCTCATTCTGAAGCTCCCTCGCTTCCCTGGCTGGTTTTGACACTTCAGAGCACCTTAAAGGCAATGTCACTGTGTGTCATTGCACATATTCCCCAAACCTAATAGTAGTTTTACTGAGGAGTTTAAGAAACTCCTGACTTTGTTATTATGCCCCTGTTGTGTATCTGTCACTCAGCTCCCTGTGCAGAAGCGCTGACAGCTCTGAGAGACATGGAGGGAAAACTTCAGACATGTGGAATCAAACAAAGGCCTTCAGAAACCCAACATGTTGTCCTTTGCGTGCGTGAGTGAGTGCGTGCGTGTCTATGCGTGTGTGTTTGTCTCAAAGTGAGCGCGAAGGGGCGAAAAACTAAATTCACTTTGTGTAAGTTTCTTTTTTAGGTTTTGAGAGTGCACGAAAAAAAACCTCTGCACAATATTTTTACAAGCAACTTTCACAGCCTGCACACGCTGTACCGCTGATACAGCCTGTTGCAATTGCATGAGGGTGTGTTTGTATTCCCCGTGGCAAGCTGCCAGCTCCTGTTGGACCTGGCATCTGTCACGGTGCTATCAGGTCGCAGAGGCAATAACGCCACTGCCAGGCCCACCTGGGCACACTGTGTACCTGAGTAGATTGGGGCGACACCAGTGGCTGGGATGTTGGCTTGAATTCGCCCTCTCATTACTCCACACAGTATTCAACCTCTGCCGGTGCAGGGAATATATGCAGGGCTGTGGACCAGCATTTCATAGCACACTTAAATCAAAATATTGTAAGAGATGTGGAACTTTCCTTGCAGAGGATAACTATAAGAAGAAGTGGTCCACTTCTTCTTATACCCTTTTGGCTCTAGCTCTTTAATCTATTTATTTATTTATATCAATACACCAGAGGTTTTGCTACGTGTGCAAACACGCAATCACAGTGAACGAACGTGTGTTTTTGTGCTGCCTGAGTGTATCTGTCTGTGCGTGCAAGAGGGAGAGAGATAAGCCATTGTTTACTCGCATTTGTCCCTGTTATCAGCTCACTCGCTGTGATTTTGCATAACAGGTCATAGTTCACTTTAGGAACTGAGGGAGGCGTGCGTATGTGTAAACCCTGCTTGCATGTGCACAGGTGCTTTAAGTACAGAGCGTATATTTGTGGCTTTCTGCCAGTTAGCGCGCGCGCCTGTCGAGTTATGCAATAGTTCTGTTTGCACAGGTACCAAAGTGTGTTTGTGTGTGTGTGCACAGGCATGCGGTTGTGTGCATGCACAGAGGGGTGTAACCCATCCCAGAGGGAGCCAATGAAAGAAACTGGTGGAGCAAAACCCACAGGTCTACCCCCCCACCCACCACACCCCACCTCCTCGCTCGCTCGCCTGCTCCCTCCCCACCCCCTGCTTCGTTACCTCCTTTATCCTGGCTGTCAGGTAGTGGCAGCGCAGCAAAACAAAGTGAGCCGCGGTCAGACATGAGCGTCCGCCTTCTCCACTAATGAGGGAGTGTTGCCTTGTACCGATGAGTGTGTGCAAGTGTTTGCGTGCACCCGCTAACCCGTCATTCACTATGCCTGTTCTCAAACTTCTTTCAGATTCCGGCTCCGTCAGAACTCAGGTGAGCTTCTGCTATGTGTGTGTGTGTGTGTATACGTGTGTGCGTCTGTCTGTGTCTGCTGTTCGTCTCCTCTCCAAAGCTTTGCTGCACTTTGAACACTGCTCTCTCCTGCAGCTATTTGCCAAGGAGACTCCAATTGACTTTAGTTGTTGCAGCCCTGCCTGATGCCAGAAACTAGAATGTTTGGGGAGATTTTTTTTTCGAGTTGTGTGTGCTGCTTCTGAAACTGTTTTGCACTTTACTGCTACAATGCTTACAAGTAACCCCAAGCAGGAAATTAAACTGTGCTTGCAGCACTTTACTTTAGTAGTATGACAGCAACTGTGGCTGAAACTGTACTTTGTGGCTAAGAGTTTTGTGCACTTTTGAAGTTTGTTTATTTCTGGTTCTGATTCAGAAATGCTCTTAAGCCCAGGTTTAATTATTTCTGCAACTTTAAAACTTGCTCCTGGGGTCATGTGACATGAGCCTATGCCAGTCTAACCATGTAAGGTCTGTATGTGGGGGTTAGCAGGCCAGATTCAATTCAACTTTACACTTAATGTGTAAAGTAGTAAGTCTCATAACTGATTCATTTTTGAAGCGTGTACAAAATGATGCAGGTTGCTTGTTTAGGTGCTTGAGATGGAGAAACTGATGAACTTTGACCCAAAATGCATTTAATGAATACAAAAAAAAAATGTTGTTAGTCCATCCCTGTAAGTCTAACTATGTTTCTGTATGTTTACAGGGCAAAGATCGAGATCCAGGTAAGAAATTTCCACATTTCCCAACATCCCACTACCTCGCATATGCCATCTGTCCTTACTCAGGAGGGAAATTATTCATCTTAGACAGCTATTGAGATGCACTAATACTGTCTGTCAGCCTGCTGTATACTGTAGGCTATATAGGCTGAACAAGCTGTTGTTTACTAATGTTTCACTTGATGGGTGTCACAACAGTCAAGCTAGTGTTGTCGATCTATGTCAACAGTATGATGAACATAAAAACACCCTTTAAATGCAGACTTTTAGGACTTCACCTAACAATCTTTTAAACTTTTGTACTGATGTGAAGATATTTTTTCCAACAAACCTATTAATGGATTAGGTAAAAAAGTACAAGAGAAAACAAAACAAAAAATGCCTGAAAGACAAACACTAAAAATGACTTTTGCATTGTGAAAACAAAACCAAGAACAAAACAAATGTGTTGCATTTTCATGTATTTGAAGGTACATGTGAAAGTGACAAAACCAATGTCAGATACATTTTTGGCAAAAAGACACCAGATCGAAGAGAGGATAAAAGGAGAACAGACAACATAAACAGCATCAGTTGAAATTAAAAAATTGCTAGTCCACAGAATATCCAGATAACACTGTTTAATAGCATTTTCCCAATATTATTTTTAGCACCACACAAGTTATCGGCTCTTACTAAGATCAACCATGTCACTTCAGTTCCTGTGAGTCCGGACACAACAACTTGACATCTGAGCACCAGAAATAACATATTCATCCCAGTCCACCACGTAACTGTGCGGAACGTAGCGGGAAAAGAGATGTTATTGACTCGTAAATGTTCTCTAACCAATCAGAGGAGGGATCATTTTACAAAGTAGCTATGTATCAAAACAAGAGCTGAATAAGATACTTTGTAACCGTGAAATCATCACACCACACTAAAAATAAAAGATAACCCGTCGGGCTTCAAATAAAACATGGCAAAAATGTGAACTATTAGACTACATGTTGGATTAAGATGAGTAAAGGCAGAAAGTGTTCTTGCATCTTCACCAATGTTTCCATCAACGTTTAAACCCAGCATCGTTTGTACTTTCCGTGTAATTGTATTTCTGACTGTCATTCACGTCTTGTTCCTTTAGCGTCCCGACCGAGTTGCCATATAAACAAAGACAAAAACAAAAACAACCCAGATCGTGTCCTCGTGAGGTTATTTTTAGTCCGTGCTGGGATTCCTCGTGATTGCGTTCTCCCCCGACTTTACATAACCAGATCACCCAGAAAATATTTTTTAATTATTAAGTGGTTCATCAGGATTGGCAGTAGGTTTGCGTGAAATGCCGCTGGCGTGGTGTCAGCTTGTGTTTTTCCTCGAAGTAGAGGCAACCTTGCTTAGTGAAAGAAGAAGGTGCGCCAGGCAGCTCTTAAGTGGTTTTGCCATTGCAGCTCAGTCTTAATCTATAACTAAAAGAGCCTTGTTAAACTGAAGAAGACCAAACCCAGAATGCATAACTTAGCTAGCAAAGTTACTCCTGCACCTACAGTAAATGTAGCCATTGCACATATGCCTGTCTCCCTCTTTTTGATTTCTGTCTCTCAATCTTTCTGCAAAAGAACATGACTAACAACTGCACCAAGGGGCTCTAATCTCTTATAAACCTGGCTTCAACACTCATTTTTCCACCCCTCCATCCATTATGCTGCAGAAAATCATTTCTGACTGAAGACGCATTAAAATCAATAGGCGTTTGATTGCCCCAGCCCTCGGCATTTCATAATATTTCAATGCTCCTCTCTTTGTCTATTTTCAAAGGTGCACTAACACGCTGTCCTTGTGTGGATAGGAATGCAATTCATGCCCCCGAGACTCAATTCTCCATGGCCCTGTGTCTTTAGAAGTCCTATTCAGGCAAGATCGCACATGTCAGGCTGCCAGCCACAGTGCTACAGCACTGGAACAGATCCTGAAAGAGAAGCACAACACATAGAGATGTACAGTATTAGCTTTCAATACAATGTTGTTGACTTCTCTGTTGTTTGCCTGTAGCCCTACCGCTTTCTTCGTGCTATCGCTTTATTATTAATTTATTTTGCTTTATCATAATACTCCAGAACGTTATCACCTGATAAGGCAAAGAAAGATATGCACAGTTCATTTGACTGTGTTGGAAATGATACAAACCTGGGATTTGTTTGCTTGGCATGGGCGGATGCTTCATAATGACAAATTATTCAGTCTCAGTGGATAATAGGATTAATAGGGTATTGTTTGAAATCAAATAGTGCCTGCTGATAACAAATCCAGCTTGATTGTGATGTACTCCACTTTTTAGTGCACGAGTAAACCTTACTGCTGTATATTGGAGTAAATATCTCACCCCGGACTGGTGCAGTTTAATTGAAGAAAAATGTGCGCGCTACATGATTGAATATAGTCGGGAAAATAAGGAAGTGGGGTTTTTTTTTGAGGGGTGTTACTGTATTAGTCACATCAAATTACTTTTCATCAAATCTCATTAATGCGACAAGATATGTCTGACTGGAATTCAGTGAAAACTACCAGAAAACATCATTAAGCAGTAAACAGGGCTCGTTGCTGCTTATCTTTTATCTGAGGGCTCGATAGCCTGCCATGCTCCATGGTGTACTGTTGCTTATCTGGAATATGATAATGAATAATGGGTCGAGATGATTTGCAAGGGCAGTGCACTGCTGACAAGAGCTGCATCTGTGTGTGTGTGTGTGTGTGTGTGTACAAATGTATACTCCTCTCATTACCACCTATAATGGGGCCATGAATAGTTTAGTAGAACAAAGACTCACTCAAACTCTCAGACTTGAGGTCACGGCATTACTTTTGATCAATTAATTTGTTCGTGTTACATAAAAGTTTCATAAAAATTATCTCACTTTAAAACAGTTGTACCTTGGTCTGCAGGATTAATTATAGATCAGTCAGTATAATCAGTATTTTGTTTCCATGACGGCTAATATTGAGGTTTCCAGACTAATTTACCAGACATAGAAATGACCGTCGCTCCCTCTGAGGTTCCAACCACTAATCTGTAGACCTGTTTCTAATTCCTATAATATATCGAAAGACACGTTTGTTCACATTTTTCAGACAGTAGTTTCACTCATGCTGTCCATTTTGCAGGTCTGCCCAAGATGCTGGTAATCAGGAACTACTTTGGATCGCCAAGTCCCGCTTCAGGCCCAGCGCTCCACATCCAGACGGGTGACATCATTGAATTAATCTGCGCCGACATTCACAGCCCCTGGTGGCAGGTCAGAGATCACGCTATCTCTTAATCACTCATTTTGCAGAACTGTAAAATGGACGCGCTGTGTTTAAATCTTCAATTCCCCCCCACCCCCTACTGTCGCTCCATCTAACCTTTATCCCCGCCTAATATTTCATAATGGTTTTAGAATAATATATGATAAGTCAGAGTTTGTAGCTACGTCCTGTTCATCTACTTCCTCATCGGTCAAATATATGTTTGTGGACGTTTCATGAGTTATACCTGCGCTTTGCTTTTCCTTTTAGCAACTTCCATTTCTCGCTCAGGCAAGCTGTTTGTATGCGGAGACTTCTTGCTAACAAGCTTCATGGAAAAGTGAAATTCTAAGAAAGACGAAAACACCCACAAGCAATTATTCACACAACGCGGAACTTCTCATAAGGAAGCGACACTCCCACACAGTTCTTTTAAGCAAGCAATTATTATTATGCGAAAGCAGCACATGCGATTTAAGCCTCGCAAGAGGAGGGAAGATAAACAGTTCCTTGAAAAGTCGCAGCAGCGCCGTGTAGCAGTCACTTACTCTGTCCACGTGAAGCTGAATAAAAGTCATCATAATAATTATACAAGATGTAAGATTTTTACCTGAGGCGCTGAAAGGGGCATCTTATTGATGCAAACTATTATTGTATTATAATCAGTTTGGAATCCAACAAGTCTTACTGCCGTTCATACAAAACAGACAAAATAGATAAAGAATTCAATTAACTGTGTGTAAAAAGCCTTACTGGAGGCAGCTACGGCCTGGCAGCCAGTATGCATTCAATATCCATCACCTTTGTGGCAAACAGACCGTAATAATTTCTGTTCTGGGCTTGTGTGACAAATAGAATCGATCCCTGTAATTTAATTTCATTCAATAGCAACCATCTGTTTACTCTGTCAATGTTACCGGCTCGAAACATTATCAAACTCTTAGCAGCCATGCAGCAGAAAGCACTGCTTTATGCAAGAGCTGATACAACGTCCTGAGGTGGCAGCGATGTGACAGGCGATGACCAGAGCATTGAAAAAAATAGGCTTCGCTGCTAGTCTGCCTCCAAGGTGGGCCGGCTCAGACACCTAATTAACACCTAGGACAGCCCTAAAACATCAAACTGATTGGTGGGGGTGACAGTCAGGAGGCAGCTGATATACAGCTTAGTGGTGCTAAAGCTGCTGGCTTGGTTATTCTTCTGCATCTATATAAATATAATGCGTTCTTCTCCATAAGAGAGTTGAATTCATGCATTTATGCTTTACACAGGCAGGTGGATATGCAAAATATCAACTAATGCTTCAGGTGCTATAATTATTATAAGCCTCTGTGTCGCACACAGTAAAGTGACAACGCCGCGTGCACTTTTTTTTGTTTTCTGCACGCCTGCCTTTTTAGCACCGCCTCAGGAGAATGCCACCCTGCATTTCGCTGCACACACTGACTGAGCATGTGACAAATAAAACCTTTGACTCCTTCACGCTACAGTTAACCACATATTCACTGGGTTCATTGAAGAGACACATTAAAAAAATCCCCGCACGATCATTTTACATACTTAGCGCCAAAAAGAATAATTTTTCACGAATGAACCAACTCGCCGTCGAGACAAAAACACGGCGTCACAACTGCGCTGTGTGAGGGAGACGGATTCACTCTGGCTTCCACAAAACTTGTGTTTATTTGGACTGCATCTCGCCACTGTTAGTAAATCAAGGCGCTGAGCTTTAAGAGTCTCCGCCATGGGAGGAATAAGGAAGTCATCCTGTTTTATTCCTCATGCCAGGAATTATTTAAACAATAGATAACTGCTGGTGTAAATTTGCACCGCTGCGTTGCAAGGCTAATTGTTCCTGAATTATAGAGATGCAGTCAGCCAGATGTATGTAACGCAATTATCTCTGTGTGGTTTCAGGGCAAAATCCTGTCAACCAAAGAGGTTGGCTTCTTTCCAAGCGATGCTGTGAAGCCTTGCCCCTGCGTAAGTAGCATTTCCTTACAGTCCTCTTGTAGTTCTAACTCACATTTGGCTACATTTAGTCACCAGGCGTGTGGAGATAATTGGGAATTACGCTTATTTTACCTGGCAAAAGTAGAAAAACAACCCACAAGCTTCTATATTTAAAGCACGAGGAGTCCGGGTTGTTTTATGAGACACGAGCAGTTCACCACTTAATTTAAGCAAAGTACAAAATGATCTTTTAAGGAACAAGCAATGCTTCATGTTGTTCAGACTAATCCGGAGAAGGAAGGAAGAAAAAATTCCATGCACCTTCATCGACATGAGGGAACTATGAATTGTTTTGCTGGACTGTCATGTTCTGTTTGATAAAATGAAAATCAGAGTCTGTCCCAGCTGCCTTAGGAACATGAGGCCTCCAGTAAATAACAAACTTATCACCTTATCTCACTGTTGTAAAGATAAGAAGTGCATTAAGCTGTGTTATTGAGGTTGCACGGTGGAAAAGCTTGTGTTTTATAGAGGAGCGATGCACTCGCTTTTAAACAGGCACCAAGATTTTATTGGAGGGGTTTGTCTGCGTTGTGTCTGATAAGTGTCAGCATCGTGAGAATAACAAAAACACGTGTTCGTGTTTGGTGTTTGTTTTTTTTCAGGTCCCAAAGCCCGTCGATTATTCCTCTCAACCTTGGTAGGTTCACCAAACAGCCCTCCCACTTTGTGCTGTTTTCACCTTCTTTTGTTCACATGTAGTCGGAGTTTTAGTCTTTTTTACAACTGGACCTGTTTGGCTGCTGTGCTGTAGGTTTGCAGGCCCTATGGAGAGGCTGCAGGCAGAGGCGGAGCTTATCAACAGAGTCAACAGCACCTACCTGGTGCGCCATCGCAGCAGAGAGTACACAGAGTACGCCATCAGCATTAAGTAAGTCTCCTACTTTGTGCCACTAATAAAAGATGCTACCTCAGATCCAGATTCGTGACAAAGGACAGTCAAGACTTGATTCTTGGCCCTCAAATATCAAATATCAGATCAAAGCTTTACGAATCATTGTGGAAATTAATTTTATTTCCATTAATTTTAATACATTTTAATGTTGAGCTTGTGAAACAAATTACGTGTAATCAGAGTATGTAAAGTCAGCTGGATATAAAACATTATTTGACTGTAGTGCCGAAACCTTGATTAATTGCTTGAATTTTACATCTTTGTATTAAATGTTATCGCTTATGAAAGCAGCTTCTAAAAAAAGTATCCACGAAAGTAAAAAACAAATAATTCCTTCATATTTTTCTGCAATTTTTGAGAGGGGAGCTTTGTAGTATATAGAT